AGCTTCTCAGGGCTGTCATTGTGCCTTGATCTAGCACTCCCTCTCCACCCTCTTAATTTATGGTGCCCTGGGAAACCAAATATTTCTCCTGCTAGAATTGTATCTAAAGAAGGAGTAGAATAGCTCTGGGGAGAGCCTGGGAAAGAGCTGTTGGATGGAGCTTGGAGAGCTTGGGAAGTTCTCTTCTGAATTGTGCATGCATTTAGTCGCAGATTTTGGCAGCTGGAAAGACTAAATCTTGGTTCCTAGCTGTTTTCTGGACAGTTGAGGTTGCTAGCTTATGACTTCTGTCTTCCCCCCTTTTCCCACTGGTATGCAAATCTCTCCCACCCTTGCCAAATTTAGAGTGGAAAGGAAAGAATGAAAGTGTTCTCAGGGAAAATGAGAAGAAGGTGAATGAAAAAAAAGCTGGGACTGAGGCAGGGTCTGTCAACCACTCTTCTTAAAACCTAAGATGTACTGAGCCCTCTGGAAGATATAGAGGGGTGGTTGGGACCCTGCCTTCACGAAGCTTCACGTTCAGTTGGGAGAGAGAACTAACAGACCTGAAACCCTCAGTTGAAAGTGGTAGAGAAATTTTTGCATCGGATGTGAGTTCACAGAAGCATGACTTGAGTCAGGAACATGGAGCCAGCAGTGTGCGATCCAAGTGGTATTTGAGTAAGTGGCCGTTCAATCCAGTACACATTGGACAGAACTAGGTACATTGGGAGACTGAGGCGGAGGGTGAGTTGATGAAACCCCAGTTATGCAGTTTTAGCAGGACATCAGATAAGCCCATTTCAAAGGCAGAATTGATGAGCGTTTGTGACTGGTCCACAGACTGTTTGTTGTGTCTGTGTGATTGGTTAAAATGCAGACTCTTGGGCTCTACTCCAGCTATGACGATTCCTTTATTTAGTTTGGGGTGGTGCCCAGGAATGGCCCAGATCACCCTGGTACAGGTGGCAAAGGATGAGTAAGGCAAAGCTGATTAATTCCCCCATGAGAGACAGACATTGGAAGGAGGCATCCAAGGTGGACAGCCTGATTTTTATCACTCTATTACAGAACAAGTAGAGAGCAGGTAAATCTAGGAATTATGGAACGTGGAAGGGAAAGCGGAATTAGCGCCTCAGCTGGAAACAGTGTTCCTGCAGTCCTCGCCCTTCAACCAGGCACGCAGGTTCTCTTACCCAGTCATTGTCACATCTGAGAACATCACGATGCTAATTGAAATCAGGTTCGGGTTCAGCTGGTTTTATACCTAGGAAAACTCTGTGCTTTGGGCATTGTAACTCTGGGCAGAAATTCTATAGTGAGTGTATGCTTTGTCAGATTTAGTGAGCAAGAAAATATGGATTGTCAGTAAAAGAAAAACACCTGTTAGTGCTGTTATTAGAAGAACCAAGCGAAATCATAGTGGTAAATAGTTTAGTAGTTTCTTCACATGTGAAAGCCATCATATTATATCACTTCTCACATAGTAAACACTTGACAAAGGAATGTTCTTTACAGATGAGGTTTGAAACCTCTTGCCAACTGAATGATAGGGGCCAGCCAGGGCTTCCTTAGGTAACGAACAAGCCAGTCTACCCCACTCCTGTCTTTTCCCTCAGGGGTTGGGGGCACCTCCAGGCCACACTTTGCACCTACCCCAGTGATCCTCACCGGCAGGTTGTTGCTCACTTCAGTTGCCTCCAGCTCTTTCCCCAGTCCATTTGTATTTGTTCTCCCCTCCACCCAAGATAAAAGAACATACCCTTGGAATAGGTCAGGGGTAGTGGTTCACAGCCCTGGCTATACATCAGAATTAGCGGGTCAGCTTTACAAAGTACCAAAATTGGGGCCCCATTCCCAGAGATTCTGTTTTAATTCCTCTGGGCATCAGAATTTTTAAAGCTCCCCAGGAGAGTCTGATGGGTGATTAGGATGGAAGAAACACCTGAGGTAGTTGATAGATTATAATAGGACAGGTACTAGCAGTACACCTGTCTCGAGGAAAATGGAAGCTTCAAGATTGGAAATAGAAATAGGTAGTTTTAAATAATGCCTTTTGCTACTCATGTCTCAAGCATGAGCTGTATCCCCAGAGTTCTCCTTCTTACTATCTTCCTTCTTTATTTAAGCCTGTTTTCTACAAGCACCAGCATTCAACATGAAACAAAACAAAAACTAGAGCTTTTATTTGCTCTAGGATTTCTGGGGTATTGCTTTCCACTCTGTCCACACAATTGAGGGTAACTGGAGCCTCCTCACGAGCTTGGAGACAGAGCAGGTTGTGACTGAGTGGCTTCTTCACGCCGTCTGACCTCTTTGAGCCTCACTTTCTGGAGGCTCAGTATCAGTGCTGCAGGGCCCTGTACATCCGGAGGACTTGACTGTCACATGTAATCGATGGTCACATGCTTCGGACTATGAACACACAGTCTTTGTTTGTGGTCTGAGGAGGCTCAATGTTAGAGTTTTAGGAGGATACTTAAGAGAAAAAAATTTTTGGTGAATACTTACTTCTATTGGATAAACAACTTGGAAGACTCTCTGTTCATCCTTGATAAAGAGTGATGATCAGGAGGTAAACCCTAATAATTCTTCTCAAAAGCATTTTAAGGCTTTTTTTTTTTTTTGAGCCAATTGGAAATTAGATCTGAAAATAAAAAGCAATTGAAGGTCTTCACTCAGTCTTTAAACTCTTGGGTTTAGGCTCCATAAAAACCCTTCAGCAAGTGCATTTTGTCATCTTTTGCATTTTATCTGAGACACCTTGTGGTATAATGCTTCTTTTCCGAGACTTTCTTGGGCCTACATTTTGCATTGTGCATTGAAAAGGCCTTTGAACGGAGGAATGTCAAAACCAAAAAAGTAAAAAGTTCCATTTTTTTGCTAATTTAAAAACTAGATTCTGAAGGACAAAAACTATGAAAACTCAAGGCACAGCTTCTCTTCTGAGTCTGGTCAGTGAGTGATCTAACTGTAGTTATAAGTAACTTCTCAAACACCACCCAGAGTTCCTCTGGTCTCGCTGACCTCCCTTTTTCCTTTCTGTAATTACTGAATATGGCCCTTAAAACCCATGTAGGACCAAACACAGAATCAAAGCTCTGTGATCTCATCACCACAAAAACAGGCTGCAGGGACTGTCCTTCTCGCGGGGAGCCACCTCCCCTCGGGACCTCTGCAGCTCTGTAATTTACAGTGATGCCTTTGTGGTCTTAAACTCAGAGAGGACTCACCCCCCCGTCCTCTGCAGAGTAGTGTGACACGTGGGTTGCTGTAGGTGGAGAAGAGGCCAGAGAGAAAGTATGTGTGAGCGTGACCTGTGGCATCTACTTTGAAGGGCACACACGGCCGTGGGTCCCCTGGGCGGAGGGTCTGTCTGGCAGTGGGCATGTTGCGGCTGCGATGGAGACTCTTTCATACGTGTCTGTCTGTTGTGCTGGGACAAACGAGGAGCCTGCCTTTTCTGCTGAGGTGCACTTTAATGAAAGGAGCTTGGCCCACATGCTGGCAGCAGCTGCGAGATGGATGGGTTCCCTCCCTGGCTGCCAGAGTCCTCAGTAAAGTGGCAGGTGATCCTTTTTATGAGCGAATAATAGGAGGCCGCCGCAGGTATTTGAGCTGCCCTTCAGCAGGTGGTGCTGTCCCGCAGCGAATGCTTAAAGCCTCCAGCGAGGTCAGCAAGCTGGCGGGCCGCGCCCAGTGCTCCTCAGCCTCGTGGGCCGTCGCCGAACGGGAGGTGAGGCCTCTCGGAGGAAACATTACGCACTTGACCCGGGGTGCCCACCTGGTCCGTGGAGGTTTCTAGTGAGAGCTGCGCTGTCTCTGAACTGGGGGGAGGACAGAGCCTGTCCCCTGCGTCCCCTGGTTTCCTCCCAGAGAAAAGCGCCCGAGCTCCCGTTCTCATCTTTGAAATCCTGGTGGGTAAGGGGGGCGTGTTGTCTCGAGCTCCTCATTAAACAGACTTAAAAGGGAGACGAGGCCTCCAGCCAGCCTTTGCATGCACCAGCCTATTAGTACTCAGGTGCCCTGCCAAGGTGGCTTGGTTGGCCCAAATGTGACTACCCACGGTTTTGTCCTTTGGCAATGAAGCCCGGCTGGGTTGCTGCGAGGAGGGAATTGACTTGGGTGAGAGCCGGGTTGTCTGTGTTTGAGCATGGATAGCTCCCTTGAAAAGGAACATTTTCCAGGACTGGTGTAACAGTATATTTCCCAGGGAAAGACTCTGAGTCAGTCATGGGAAACCTCTTGTTGGAATCCTTTAGTCAACACACACGATTGAGCAGCTGCCTTTCTACACGTGATCAGAGCAGGGCGACGGTGTAGGGGACAGCAGGTGAGACCAGCCCTTGAGAAACTGGTAGGAGGGGGAGGTCAGGGCAGAAGGAAGCAAATGCTGGGACACAGGTACCAGCAAGGTGGGCTAAGTGCAGAGGAAGGACTGGCGAGGGGGCGGGGGGCGGGGCCACGCAGGTGACACCTGAGCTGTGCCTGGAGGAGGGTGATTTCCAGAGTGGGGGAGAGGTGTTTCAGGATGAGGGGACAGGGAGAGCTAAAGCGTGAAATTGGGCGCTGTGTTTGGAAATGGTGAGTGTAGAGACTAGCTGGGGAGTGAGGCAGGAAATGTGGGAAGGAGGTCTTCTGCAGAACTTCAGAACCCCGAGTGTCTTAGAGAGGTTCTTGGCTCCTTATCTTAAACCTTTGAAACATTTCATTGTGTCCTGGGCTTTAAACCCATTAGCATCACGTAAAGAGAAAACCTGAGATAGTGCAGGAGGTAAGGGGGACACTTCGGTGCCTTGCTCCAGACGAGGGGCTTTCAGTAAAGGCCCCTGGTCACCTTGAACAGAGTCGCCCTGCTTTTCCCTCAGTTAAGAAGATGTATATGCTGATGTCTCCTTCCTCTCCATCGTGTCTTCGTGGGGACTTTTAGGAGTTTGTAACTGGTTTTGTGAACTCTGTGCTGCGTGCCTCGCCGTGTGAGTGTGCCTGACAGGTTTTCTTTTTTCCCATTTTCCTTCCAGCTTTCTGTGGTCGGCTTGTTCGGAGGAACTTGGCCGGTGCCCCCGAGTGAGACAGCTCCTCCCTGTTGCAAGCAAGCGGAGCCTGGGGTGAGGCGAGGTGAGTGAGACCTCTGAGGTGAGGGGGGAACTGTGCTGCAGACCAGCTTTTCCAAGATATACTGTTCTCTGAAAAATGTTGAGGGCTTTGAAAGTAAATCGGGTTTTTATTCCTACAAATTTAAGGATAATTTTAAAAATCAGTGTCTAAGTTAAAGCACTCTTAATAATATGGGTGCTTCAGTTTATCCTTTGGAAACTTTTCTAATTTAATTATTTGTGCCCACTTCAGGGTTTTTTGGTCTTTTTCTAGTGTCTGGCATAGTACTTTCCCACTGAAAACGTTTAATGTATGTTGACTGAATGGTTTAGTATCTTGGCTGACAGTTTGTATGCATAGAAGCAAACTGATAAAAGCTGTTCAGGTTTTTAATACTGTCGGACTGAATGTCCATTTTTTATCATTGTCATTCTCCTGTTCCACACTCCCTGTGAAGAGCTTTGTGAAGTTTAATTACAAACGCCTCCTTAGCTACCAGGACGCAAACATGGGAACATTCACAACCCACCTTACCTCGCTACCCTTCCTAGGTTGGCTTTATAGGGTCACACCGGCTGCAGCTGGCTTAGGTTCTGTCTCCCACCTGTTTTGCAGGCTGTCTTGTAACTTATTTTGAGCTGTGCTCCCCTCCCCCAGGTTTCAGGGAGGATATTCTCTTTGTGTGGCTTTAGGGACTTTGGGGACGTTGCTGAACTTCTGTACTGTCGTTTTCTTGTACTGCAGTCAGTCCTACTTTTAAGTTATGAAACAAAAGTACCTACTTCAGTTTAGTCAGGCTGGAGGTTCCTGGTGGGTGATTTTGGTTGCATTCATCCTTTATTTGCATTCCCTGTCTTCACGTGTGGCATGTAGCAGGACTCAAATATTTCCTCCTTCCTCTAAGAAGAGAGGGATTGGCTGAGAACAATCTCCAGTCCCATCTTAAGTGAGCGCAGCTTGGAGGACTGTTCTCATGTGTGCTCAGCTGCTCACAGTTGAGGCAATGGAGCAGGAATCTGAGGTCCTGAGCAAATTGTTTACTGGGGGCGCCGAAAACTGCACTGGTTTTTCTCTGTGCATGTTGGAAATGCTCCTCCATAGAAGATGGGGGTCAAGGTTAAAGCTGCTTCCAAGCCTCTGAATTCTTGAAACGCCCATGTGACATGCAGGTGCACTCTGCCATCTGTCCGAGGCTTGCTATTCTGCATTCACCCCTCCTGCCTTGCCTTGCTCATCCGTGAAGAACGGAGCAGCCACATTGCTCCCCAAAACTTTGGGGGTCCTTCCGAAGGCAAAGCTTCTCAACAGGAACGTGGTAGGGGGAGTACACACCTGAATCTCCCATGAAGCTTTAGAAATGAGGACACTGAGACATGCCCAGGTGTGCCAAGTTAGGGTTTCAGGATGGGGAGGGAGTCCTTGCTGGGTATGGTTTTTTTTTAAAGCTCTTCAAAAGGTGATGCTGTGTAACTACTTGAAAAATATTTGTATGTGGAGTAGACTTAAAAACAAAAACCTCTTTCTTAGCCTGAGCAGATGTTTGGGGGGAATTATTTTTGAACTCTCCTAACTAGTTTAGCCAGTTTATACTGCCAACCCAAACAGTCCCTTGTTGTGCCATAATTTGCATTGCAGAGCCATTTTATAACTTTAAAATTGCCTGTGACAACACTTTCTACGGTTGTAAGTATACAAGGACATTGAAGAACAATTTACTATATTTAACAGGAGCGTAGGCTTATTTAGAAATCCAGGTGGGAATCTGCTCACATGGAGTTTTACCAGACTATGCACAGATTTGCATATTAAAACCAAAGCCTTCCGACCCCTGGTAACACATTTCTGAAAGTAACACTGAAATAGCAATTTAAGTGTATTGCCCTGAGAGAGTTGTTGGGCAGGAAGTTTATTTAGTAAGTTACATATATATTTTTCTCTAGTTTCTGGGTGGCAGCAAATTTGCCAATTCTTCTTTTGTCTTTCCCTGGGACTGACTTGAAGTAGATAGGAGCTTACCAGGAAAGGTCATTTTGAGTAGTTCTTGTGGTTTTTAACTGTCTGCTTTGCAAATTCCCTTCCTAAGAAAGAAAACCTTGCAACTAGTTTTTAGGTGAGATTTTAATAATATGATGGGTCTAATGGAACATGGGGAGTTTCTATATTGAAATCGCAGAATTTTACCGTTGAGGGGGGACCTTACAGAAGACTTACCGGGTTTCCATGGCCTCAAGGTCATGGAAACTGCTATTTTGAAGGTCACAGATGGCCTCTGATAGGGCTCTTGACATGACTCTTCTGTAGCACTCCTCGTTTGCAGCTTCCTCCTCTGGGTTCCTTTATACCCTTTACACTGCCCTTATTTTCCTTCTTTCATTTCTTCTAGGTCCTGCTGTGTCTGCCTTTAAATGTAGCCTTTTCCTGGGTTTTCATCCTTGGTGGTTTTGAGTCTATTCAGCCTCTTTGGGGGACCTCAGAGCTCCCATGACTTCAGCTACCACCCACATGTTAATGGCCCTCATTTCAAACAGTCTTTAGGCATTTCTACTTCGATGACTCATATGTACTTTTAACTTGTAATATCCAAACTGAATTCATTTCTCTCCTAATTATTGCCTGCTTCCTGCTCCCCCACCCCACCCCAGTCCCCTCACCCCCATGCTTCTGTCTGCTTTCCCACTTTGGTCATTGGCACGGTTCAAGCCAGCAGTGATTCATCCGTCACCCTCCCTCAGTCAGCCCCATATTTTAATTGGCAATTCAGTCCTATCATTTTAATGTCCCAAATAAGAGAGGAAAAGGCCATTCCACTGACATTATTATGGGCTTTAAAAGTTGTACTTGGGCCTATATCAGCAGATCTAATAACATGAGACAATATCAACTATTTATGTAACATACATTTCATTTCATGCTAGGTGTAGTCCTAGGTGCCTGTCACTTGTTTATCTCTAATTTTTGCTATTCTGTGGTATGTCATCTCTGTTAGAAATGGGGAATCTGAGATTCATAGAGATTAAGTTATAGCCCAGGATCAAAGGGCATGTAAAGCACAGTGAGTAGAGTTAGGATTTGGGGATTTGAGACCTATGGGGTGCATCTGCCTGACTCCAAAGTCTTCGCCATCTGGAACTGCCGTGCTCTGTTTCCATTACGCCACAGCGCTGTTTTAGACTTCTGGTGAGTGGGTTGACTTTGTTGAGGGCAGGAACCGGGTCTCATTCATATTTGTGTTTCAGGCTACATATTTTTTCTCACATAGTAGGTGCCCAGTGACAAGACTCTTAATGACAAAACCATGGTCCATGTCTTCATCCAGGTTCAATCCCTGGTTTTATTAGCTGAGCATTAGCTGGGCTACCTGAGATTAGGCCGATGGGATCGTGCTGTGTGTCCTCAGAGAGGTTTTTACGAGAATCAGAAGGGATGGCATAAGGGAAAGTGCTTTAAAATTCTGGAAGGTTTTTGAGAAGCTCTTTTTTGTTGTAGAAGTCAATAACTGGCCAGCTCAGAGGAGCCTCTCTTTTTTTGTTAGTAAATGACAGCATGTGAAAGTATAAACTCTTCTGGATGTATATGATCATGCTGGTTGAATCGTCCATGTGCTCCCAGTAATAAAGGCAGAAAAGGCTCTTTCAGATAAAGTTCTTGTTAATAAGGATGGCATATGTAGATCTAATTTTTATAATTTCTGAGCATAACTGTTTTAGAACAGATAAAGATATAATCTACAAAACCCAGATAGTTCATATTTAGGCATAGTCAGGGCAGCTAAAGCAGTCTACGGAAGTTTTCTTTATTCTGTTAAATTGATCTTGGGAGAGTGGATTTGGACACATTTTGCGCTGTCCCAAAAGGAACCCTAAATGGTGGCCCAGAGTATTTTGTATTTTGTTTCCTCATTGTCTCCTTTTGCCCCGTCCTGAGAAGAAAATGCTGTTTGTTTTTCTTCATAGTTCTCCCTTTCCCATCATATTTTGGTAACAGTTTGCCTGAGGAGAGGGTCCCCTTTAATGAATATATAAAACCAATTTTTCATTGTGGAATTTAGAAATCATTTAACCTTTCTAAGTTTTTTTCTTTTTTACAAAATTGCTCTATAAATATGGGGTATTACTGTGTATTTTACAGGGTTGTTTTAACGGCAAAGTGACAGAGATAATGTACCTGAAGATGGTAGGCCTTTGAGTAGCAGCTTTTACTGTTCAAATTTTGTTATCACAGGCCTAAATTTTCAGATTTAAAAAGGCTTATTAAGCCCATCTGTGAAGACACAATTCAGGAAGAACTCCTGTGAGATGGAAAGGGACTGGGGAGTGTCTGAAGCAGTGGTTTTTAGGGTGTGGACCCCGAGGAGCAGCATCATCATCAGCTGGGACTTGCTAGAAATGCAAAGCCTGTTTCATCCCACACCTGAAAATCAGAGACTTGAGATGGGGCCCAGCAGTCTGTTTAATAAGCCCGACGGGTGATTCCGATGCACTTTAACTGAGCTGAAGTTAGAGAAATCAGGCTGCGGGCTTTTGGAGCAGTCCTGTAGGATAGTGAAGCCTCCCCAGGATGGTGGGAGGGAGTGAAGAGGAGATGGATTTGGTGAGACTTAGTAACTCTTGACGTTTATCAGACAAGGACAGAGGCCACAAGTCTGGCTGGTGGACTAAAGGGGGTAGTGCCTGTCAGCAGGAACCTGGAACACAGGCTGGTGAGTGGGTTTTAGAGGTTGGAGGAAGAGGAAGATGAGCTTCGTTTTGGACATGCTGAGTTTTTGTTGCTATGGTCAATGCCAGCAAGCTGGGAATAAGCACTGTCACTGTAGCACAGGTAAAACAATGGGGAAACAGATCATAGAGCTGGCAGTTGAAAATGTGGTTTTAAGATCATTTTTCCAAGGAAAATGATAGAAAAGAGAGCCAAGACTGATTGGTTTGGAATTGGGTATTTGAGATGATGGCATCCAGTTTCTCTTTCAGAAGGATAAGCAATGTTTAAGAGTGTGTGGGGAGCCCGGCCCAGTGTGGCTCAGA